AAAGCCAATTAACCAAACATCTTAATTAACTGTTTATTTGGTCAAAAAGCCAAAAAATGATCAAATCAACCAAAAAATGATTGATAGGCCCCATCAACCAAACACCCCAATATGTAGAGTGCATGCACTTAAAGCTGACTCAAGTTTAAGGGTCAGAAGTGCAAATAATTATACTCGTAATTCATAAATAATGAAGATTTCGATCATACATTGATACACACTCATACACAGGAATACAGGATGAACATGTAATCCAAAGAAAATGTTCACCCTAAAATTAATCTTGGGGCTCTTATATTATTATTATTATTATTATTATTATTATTATTATTATTATTATTATTATTATTATTATTATTATTATTATCTATTTGTTCTAAAACGGATGACACCTCATCCCTGAGAATCTCTTAACCAAATATTTGTAAAGGCGCTATACATTTTTCACAATAATCTCTCAATATCTATTTGCCGAGCTACGCTCACCGACATAGTAATAAAATACACAGAGATCATACATTTATCAGACCAGATCAAACAAGACCAACAAATTTCAGATCAATTGAAAACATCCTTAATGTTTAGTACTGCATCTATTTGGCAGTAATGACTCTAAGATGACCGTATATACCGTCGTGTTACATGATAATCAGATGATTCGGCTTATTCTGCTGGAATTTATGAAGTTCTGGCTGAAGTGACTTCATTGGTTGATTCTGTTGATTTAAAGAAAAATTATTTTTAAACTACATTTTATTATTAAAATAAAGAAATAATTATATGTAAAATAGCTAAAATAGTCATCTACAGTAACTTCAGTCAATACAACCAGAAAAGTCACTCCAACCTTACATTTTCTTATTATTACATAATTCAGCGCTAGAAAACAAAACTTACGTGTTTGGTGAATAATGCTGGCCCTCTGGTGCGCACGGGTTAGCGGCCAGAAAAGTCACTCCAAACTTACGTGGTTAGCATCCAAAAGGGGGTTTTCAGAACCTGAAATAAGACTGATCCTCTGGTGCGCACGGGTAAAGGCCTACTACCGCTTTGTTGACTGAGTCACCATGATTAACCTCCCCATCATCCTGTCGGGTCGGGGTGGGGGGCCCTTAGAGTTGGGCATTCAACCTTTTGGACGTACTTGTTTGGTGAAAAAGTTGATTGATAAATCTGATAAGCCGAAAAAAAATGTTATCAAACGGGGTCAAAGGTCATGAACCGAAAATACGAGTTACACCATCGGAACTTTTGATGTAATAATAAGATTAGGCTTGAATTCGGTTTGGGCCATCCGGCCCGTGACCCGGCCCGGCCCGCTACTGTGTGGGCCCAGGACTGGCCCGGTCTAGTGGTCCGGGATCGGGGAGAAAGGTGGGGTGGGCTCGGTTCAGGCAAAAGGTGACCCGACCCGGCCGGGTCGGGCCCGGGACCGAGTCCAACGGTCAATTTTTTTTTGTTTGGCCCACAAATAGCCATTGGGGGTGGGCTGGGGATTACCCAAGCGGCTATACAGCCGTTGGGTGGGCTGGAAGGGGGGGGGGTCCGGGTGGTTTGGGGGTGGGGTAAAAAAAACTATAAATACTCTTAATCTTAAACATTTTTTCATATCTCTTCTCCAATTCTTCCTAAATCATTTTCAATTTTTTCATATCTCTCTAATTATCTTCATCTTCTCAAATTCTCTTATTCTCCGGTAAAAACTTCATACAGTACTTATTTTTCTTATCTACTTATATAGTTATATACTCCGTATTAATTATCTATTTATAAATACATATATTATATTACTTATATTTGTTATCTACTTAATCTCTACTTATTATCTACTTATTATCTACTTATATCTACTAAATGCATACATATTACAATTTATATCTACTTAGTTAGAATTGTTAGAATTTTGTTTCATTAGAGTTAGAATTGTTAGAATTTTATTTCATTAGTTCGAATTGTTTTTATAAATTAATATTTGTTACATTTTTAAGATGGAAGGTGGTAGATATTCGGTTGATATGGGTAACCTCGAGCCCAACCGAACGAACGAGCTTGCGAGGAAGAAATCCCGCAAAGGTAAATCACATATCGGCTCTTCGTCTCAAAGCCGAGATGATTTTGATACAGGTTACGCAAGGAGGGATGAGGATGCCATGACCGACGAACAACTATAACGAGAATTGCACCGACATAATAGTCGGTTCCAAGACCATCCGAGGACCATTGATGAAGAAGAGCTCGAGGACGACGATGTGGAGGAAGTAATTCCGGCTAGCCACGACGGCGACGCGGAGGAGGGTAGCGGCAGCCACGACGCCGACGAGCCTGCCTCATCCCAACAGGTACGAAAAAAAGTAGATCTGAACTAATGAAAAATAATTTTGATAAGTGGAAGGACCCGAACATCAGGAATTGGAACACAACTTGCAAGTGGTGCAAGAAAAACTATAGCTTGGGGATTTCCGGCGGATATGGATCTGCCACGAGGCATCTTAAGGTCAAACACCCGGTGGAGTATGCAAAATTAGGCGACGGAATGGGGAAGCAAACTCAAATATCGAGATTTGCAAATAACCAACAACCTTTTGGTAATTTCTCATACAATGATGCACAAAATTTGACAGGTATGACTAACTTACTTGTTGAAGAAAATTTGCCTTATTTGTTTTCTGAAAGTCTTGCTTTCGTGATTATGCACAAACTTGTTTAAATCCTCAATATAGAGGTTATAGTCGCAAAACGGTTAAGAAACAAATTTCAAGGCTTTATGGTGCGGAAAAGGTAAGGTTACAAAATTATTTTGCAAACTTTTGATGGGCGTGTTACTGTATATTTTGACATATGGGAGGATACTTCTCATAATTTACATTATTGGGTCTGACTGTACATTATATTGATAATGATTGGAATATGTATAAACATGTTCTTGCTTTTCGTGAATTTAATGATCGTCACACCGTTGAACATATTTATATTTTGATTGAGCGTATTTTAATTGAGTATAATTTAATTGATAAGGTGTTTGCTATTGGTTTTGATAATGTTACTAATAATACTGCTGCTATTCCTAGATTGCGTGAATTGTGCGGTTCTACTTTTTTGATGAGTAGATTTTTTCATCAATGATGTGCATGTCATGTTATTAATTTATGTGTGCAAGATGATCTAAAAGCGTTAGGAACATCTTTGGAGGTAGTCAAGGGGGGATTAGACATATTTGGGGTAATGGTCAACTTAGAAAAAATGTCATGATTATTTGATAGAAAGAGGTGAGAAATATGTGCCTTTTTCTACAGATTTATCTATTCGTTGGAGTAGTAGTTATAAGTTAATTGCATTTCTTCTTAGATATAAACAACATTTTCCTGCTTTTATGAAACAATATGATAACTATATTATAAACTCGCTTGAGATCGACACCTGCGAAAAAATTTGTAATGCTTTGGTATATTTTAATAATGCAACTGAAACTTTTAGTCATGTTTATAAACTTATCTCAAACCAATTTATTCGTGAAGCTGTTAATCTCGCCGGTGCTTTTTCAAAGTTTGAGAATGCCGATCATGTGAGTTATTTTGCTGGTTTTATGAAGGAAAAGTTTTTAAAATATTATTCACATATTCCGCACATTTATGGTATTGCATTTTTTCTCGATCCTCGTTTTAGACTTGATTCTTTAGAAGAATGTTTGAATTATTATTATGCTGCTTTTTTTGGTCTAATGTCAATGTATGACGAGAACTCAATTGATCCGAAAAAAGAATACAACGAGGTTAGTAATATATTTTATGTATTATTTAATGAGTTTCATGCACAATATGGCAACGCGCCCCCTCCCCCAACACAAACCTCTTCATCCAAAGGAAAATCAATTTTGAAATCTACATTTGTCAATCTTATTAAAAAAACTAAAACAACACCCGCTACTCAACAAAACATAATTAATGAGATTTCTTTGTATTTAACATATGATGTTGATTTTGAAGAAAATGATGACTTTGACGTTCTAAACTAGTGGAAGAGAAAAGAAAGAATGTTCCCGGTTTTAGCAAAGATGACTAAGCAAGTGCTATCAATGCCGGTTTCAACAGTTGCTGTCGAACAAGAATTTAGTTCAGCCGGCAATGTCCTAACGCAATGTAGAACGAGGTTGAGCGCAGAATCTCTTGAGATGCGTATATGCTACCACGATTGGTTGAAGGCGGCCCGTAGAGCTCAAGAAATTGACATCACCCCATCCAACATTTTATGAATGAATCTACAACCGAAGGTGACTCTACCTGTTACGGAGATTCTGATTAATTAGTATTTTATGTTTTAATTTTACCTTCAATTCTCAATTGTAATTTCATATTGTATTTTTTTCTTAGTTGTCAAATGTAGTTCCTATTTCATTTCAAATAAATGCACTTGAAGTTTGTTTTTAATACTTGTATAAAACTATAAAGTATAAATTAAAAAAATGGATTTAACCGGCCCGGTCCGACTCAGCGGGTGGCCTGACCCGTGACCCGGGCGGGTGGCCCGGCCCGAACCGGAACCGCCTGTACCTCAGGCCGGTCCCAGGTCCACCATTCACAAACTGGCGACCCAATCAGGCCTTGGCCCGGCCCGACCCGACCCGAATCCATGCCTAAATAAGATAAGATAGAAATAAATTGATTGAGGTCATAACTCATAAGCAACAAGATAGAAATAATAATAAGTGACAAATCCTCACACGCGATCTAACCGCTCTAAACTAACAAACATTCTTGATGTACACATCCTTGTACACACCTTATACACACCATGTTTTTGAAGTTTTTTTTTGTCTGTGAATCCGGTTCACAGACAATATTTTGTTTGTGCAAAACATTGTCTGTGAATCGATGTTCACAGACAAAAAAAAGGCTTTCACAGACATAGATGTGTACAAAAGTGTGTATAAAAGTGTGTACAAACATCATTTTTGCTAAACTAAACTTTACCTTCAAATTACGGATTGACATGTGTTTGAAAAAACCAAACGAAGCCTTAAGATGAAAAAGAAACCGCCTTCACGTGCTCTCTCAAATCTCATCTAACCCCACAAAATGGTCTTCCCCAGTTAAATTTAGCGACTTATATCATCCCCGACCTTGAAATCTTCCACTATATAGTGATTGATATACACATTCAAAGAATCCCATTAACTAAAAACCCAGATTCAACAATGGAAATTCGAAGAAATCCCACCCCTACCAGCGTAAACTATCCATCTTCCGCTTGCTTTTGCTTCAATATATTCTCTTCTTTTATGACATATCTAATTAACACATTCTTGACTTTTTCAGATCATCGGAAGGCTTGTAATGCTGTCCGTTTGGGTCCTCTTCAGCTGTTCAGAGGAGGTGTTCGGGCGCAGAGGAGGAGGGCATAACGGGTGGCAGAGCTTCAGGTACTCTGCTTTCAGTAGCTGCCGGTCCCACACGGCGGCGCTGACGGACTTCGGAGGAGTTGGCGACGGAGTGACACTGAACACCAAGGCTTTCAGGTCGGCGGTGGATTACCTCAGCCAGTTCGGGGCGGAGGAGGGCGGGTCATTCCTGTATGTGCCGCCGGGGAAATGGTTGACCGGCAGCTTCAATCTGACCAGCCATTTCACGCTCTTTGTGGATGAGAACGCCGTTATTCTTGCTTCTCAGGTTCCGTCCGTCTCTTTTGTTCAATCTCCTGTCACTTCAAGTACTCGTGATATAGTTGTTTTAATGTATGCTATGGATCCTCTGATTTTCCATAAATGCCTGAAAGCACATCATCCATGGGAACCGGTGATGATATATTTGGTGAAAGGTTTGAAATGAAAACTCAGAAGTTTTAAGATGTTTTTAATTGAACACCTTACATATTCAAATTGATGTTTGGATCTAATTCTTAAAACTGTTTCTACTCCTTCAGGTAGAAGAATAAGAAGTTGGAGTGTTTAGGTGAAAATGCAGAAGTGATCATGGTGCTCTAATTTACTCGTAGAATCAGTTTTTTTTAGAAGCTGGGGGTACCAGCTTCTGAAAACTGATTCTGATTCTGCTTCTGCTTTAAAAAAAAAAGCAGAAGCAGAATCAGTTCCAAACACCCCTCAATTAAACATGCCTAATTGCCTACTCTCTTCAGATATTGATTATATCTGACTAGACTAATCTAGATCAGATATTGACAACCGTTAAACATGCCTAATTGCCTAAATATATTATATCCCCTTCTTGAGATTACTGATTTACTCCTCCCCAATTTGACTAGTAAATGTTAATAAATTGTATTCCCCATCACACTCCGTAAAGTACATTTTTGGTTGAATTGGATGATTCAATTTAAATTTATAAAATTATGGTAGGATGACTAGTTTGACTGATTTTGTTGAATTATTAAACAATTATATTTGAAATATAATTGTACTAATATAATAAAGAAAATATTATATGAAAAGTAGTTCAAATTGTCTTCTACAATAAATTCAATTAATTTCGTCAGAAAGGTAACTTCATCCTTACTTATTTTGATTACTACACAATTTAGCGCACGGAATAAAATACAATGTGGAAAAAATAAGATTAATAAGATGAATAAGTCAAAAACGGGTTATTGATAGAATCATCACACTTTTTCTTACTTTTTCAACGTTCTATACTACCTTCGTTCCTATTTAATGTTTTCAACAGTTCCACTTCCTTAATGTGTGCAATTTGAACTTTGAAGTGGTATACGGTATGTTTGACACAACTAGGTGAAAAGATACTTTTGTGAGCTTTTTAATATATGTTAATTTTTAGTGACTGAAAAGATCTTAAATAGAAAAGGTGTTAGTTTTTTGGTAAAAAGTGTTTGATTTAATTCGGTTTGCCATAGAAGCTTTAGAACTAATTAATACTAAAAGTCACGGGCTTTTTCAGATACTACTCCATGTAGCATCTCAAAAAATATTTTTTAATTTTTAAAAAGCTCTTAAAAATTGTCATGCCAAACATATAACTAGAAGCTTTTAAAGACTTTTTAAACAATACAAAAACTAGATAATAGAGATTTATGCTCGCTAAATATAGCGTACACACAGGGGAGTATCTTAAATCAAATACTTTTACACTTCCTTTTTTTTCTTCTTGAAACTCACTCCAAAGTCCAAACCCACATCTATCTTACATCATAGGGTTTTTTTATACGGAGTAATTAAAAGCGTTCTTAACCGATTTGGTTTTGCATAAATATTAAATTACTGCAATTTTCTTTTAAAAATTATCATATACGAAGTACGAGTATATTCCTAATAAAAGGTCGAACATGGATTTCTAACAGAGTAAAAATACAAAACTAGACCTTTAAATTAGGACACGTAGTATATGGTAGTACACTAGTACTGTAGGAGGCCAGCTAAAAGTAGTACTGTAGTTGGCAGTAGGTGGGTGACTAGGTACACACCACCATTATGGATCTTTGGTCTTCTTCAAGTAGAGGAATGCATAGTAGGAGTTAGGACATAGGGCAATTTAGCACTCTGGTAGAGAGGTAGTGAGTGGAAGGTTACTCTGTCCTAGCGGAGGTCTCGGGTTCGAATCCCGCTAGACACATTTAGGGGAAAGGAAGGAGGTCTTGCTCCCAATGATTCTTCCTATCTTCACAGAGTTGCTCAGCGGCTGAGAAGGGAGAGGATGATAATGAAGGTAGCGGGTTCGTGTGGTGGGAGGAGTAGCCGGAAAGGTGATGTAAGTCCTGCTGGATTCGTCCTTTGGAGCCAGTACTGACGATGCTGACTGTGATGAGATCCGGATTTAACTGTCTAGGGGCTTTGGAGGGTAGTTCATAGACTCCAGGATTATGGGAGCGTAAGCCCCGACACCTAGATTATCAAAAAAAAATGATGGTGCAAAATGACCTGATGAGTTGAATTTGAAGGGAATGCAAGATTAACCAGTGGTTTGGTGACACTGAAATTAGTTGAATCTTTTAACATTAATGAAGTTTCGGCTGAAGCGAATCAATTAGCTAAATCTATTGAATTATGAAAAAATTATATTTAAATTATTTAATTAATAAAATAAAGTTAGAATTAAATGAAAATAGATAAAATAGTCTGCTACTGTAAATTCAATCAAAAGAATAACTTCAACCTTACTTATTTAGATTATTATGCAATTGAATGCACAAAATGAAAAGGTATACGTTTGATGAAAAAGCTGATAGATAAGATTGAAACCAGCGTCACCAAATAGGACACAAGTCAAATTGGTCTAAAAATGTATTTAAGAAAAAGTTTTTTCATAAATTAAATGAAATACCACTTAAAAAGACAAGGTAGAGGTGTCATTTTGTTTCAGCCCAATAGTGCGTTTTGTAGGATAAAAACCGCAGATTATACCGTGCAACCGGCGCACCATGAGGATGGTGCGCCCGGTTGCAAAACGACGCAGCTTGCCCTTTTTTTTTTGCTTTTGTTGTTAAAAAATGATAATAACTTTTTTATTTTTGATCCGATTTTTATAAAATTTATATCAACATTTTTTATTTTTCATGATCTTTCAAATGAGACCAATATTGCGTATGTAATTTTAAGAAATTATCGAACTATTATATTAATGAGTATTGGATTATAAGGAAAATCGAATCTGTTTGGGAGATGATAGGTTTGTGAAATAGAAGATCGAATCTGTTTGGGAGTGGATCAGTGACCTCAGTTACATTTGATAATACATTGAGTTACATCTTTTTATGAGCGAGTTACATCTTTTTATAAGCAAGTTACATCTTTTTATAAGCAAGTTACATCTTTTTAAAAGCGAGTTACATATATATAAAATGAGTTGCATTTGACATGCTTGAACGCGACTTACATGTATTTACACGTAAAGTTACATATTTTTACATGTAAAGTTACATATTTATACACGCGAGTTGCATTTGACCTGTCTGAACGCGAGTTACATTTTTTTTTACGTAAAGTTACATATTGTTATACGTAGAGATACATATTTATACACACGAGTTGCATTTGGCCTGACTGAACGTGAATTACATATTTTAACACGTAAAGTTACATATTTTACATGCAAATGTTAATATGTTAAAATTACATAGGCAATATTGGTCTCATTTGAAAGATCATGAAAAATAAAAAATGTTGATATAAATTTTATAAAAATCGGATCAAAAATAAAAAAGTTATTAACATTTTTTAAAAACAAAAGGAAAAGAAATCCGTACCGGTATACGGTGCTCACCGTATACCGGTTGCACGGTATACGCACTCGATAAAAACAATTATTTTATTATTTAATATAAATTGCAGGTCATTTTTATACGGTACTTTATCATATAAAATGTCTTAAATGGGCGAGGATGACAAAGTACTTTGTATGTAATTTAAAAATGAATTAGGCACCTAACTAAACAATTCATTTTTACTGATGCAAAATAATTAATTGAAAGGATGGCCAAAGTATCACTTGTAGAGTTTAGATGGACAAAAATGTGACTAATTTATGATGGTACAAAATTGACTATTTTGCCTTTCGTATCCTCCGTACCTTATGCTTCTTCTTCTCAGAGTAGAGCAGTCCTTCTCCGCCATAACTTAGCTACGTACGCAGATTAGACCTTCTCTGCCGCCGCTCTCCTGCTACAGCGGCCCTCCTTCCGCTGCCGTGCCTGAAATCGGATAGTTTCTCTGTCTCCTTCGATGGCCGCTCCTTCGCTGGATCTGTAGTCATTGGTCGAGTGTGATTTCGGGCCGACAGTTCCAGATTCGGTGGACAAGGACTATGATTTAGGATAGGCGGTGTCGGGTCCGTCGTCCTCGATGCTGGAGAGGGACCGGGGTCCGGGGGGAAGGACCGGGGGCGGGACATCAAGTTGGGGAAGGGAGTGGGGTTGGGGGTTGGGGAGCTATTTCGTATGGATAAGGCTAAGGCAATGGGCTGGCGAACAGTGACAGGTTAGTGCGGTGGAGGTGGCGGAGGCTGTGGCCGTGGTGGTGTTGTGTCAGGGGCGGCGACTATGTACGGGTTAGGGGTTGCGGCTGTGTACGGGCTAGGGGTGGCGGCTGCGTACAGGTTAGGGGCGGTGGAAGGGGGGAAGTGGTGGCGCCGTGGCGGTGGACATGACCGGGTCGGCGGTGGTGTCGGGTGGAGGTGGCGGGCTGGCAGCTTGGGCTAGTGAGGGGAGGCTGCATTACAGTTTCGCTGGAAAAAGCTGGGTATTTTCCTGCGATCACAATGACATATTTCACGGGGACATAGTGACATTGTTAAGACATAATGACACGTTTGACGACGATAGTGACATATGAAAGGGGCATGAAAACCGATAGTGACACTGAATGTGACATAAAATCGCAGTGACATAGAATCTGACAGTGACATACAAGTAGGCAGTGACATCTGTTAGTCACATTGTTGTCCTTTTAGAAAAATGGTCACATTCTTGAAAATTAATTTAATTTAGTAATGTTGAAGGAAAAAGCACTGGTTAATTTCCTAATTCTTACCTGCAATCATTTTGCGCGTAAAATTTCAATGTTTACTCTACAAAAGATGGGAATAGAGTATCTTGCATTGCACCCCTTTTAATTTTCAAAAGTTATCATCTGAATAGAGTATCTTGCATTACTCCGTATAAGATTTTGATTTAAACTTTCCCATAAGGTTCACCACATAAATCTAAGTCTTAGTATTGTATTGGGGTGAATTTTTCTTGTGATTTGATTGTTTATTTAATACTCCCCATATAATTTTGGATTGGTTTAAACAAATCAAATCAGATTAAATTAGATCAAATCATAGCATACTTTGACGGTTATAAAATGTACACATGACAAACATACATAAAACCAGTCCAGACCAGTCCAGACCAGATCCGATCAAAACAAAAAATTATAGTTCAATTAAAAACATATGAGTACAAGTGTATAACCAACTTAGGATCTATTTTATCCATATATGATGAATTGCTCTTATCCGTTCTTCAACATTTGGTTTACATAAATGATACCTATCAGGATGAGAATGATTATCCAGTGATTGAACCATTACCATCATATGGACGAGGAAGGGACTCCACAGCTGGACGGTTCATTAGTCTCATATTTGGAACCAACCTCACCGATGTTGTTATAACTGGTACAAAGTTTCATAAATCTAAAAACTTGGATTTTATATACAAAATGTAAGTTTCTTTAAATTGCAATCCTTGTTTATCAGGAAATAATGGAACCATTGATGGCCAAGGGGATCTCTGGTGGGATAAATTTCACAAGGGCAAGTTAGACTATACAAGGCCTTACTTGATTGAAATAATGCACTCTAAAAATATTGAAATATCCAGCCTCACTCTGCTAGATTCTCCGTCCTGGAATGTTCATCCTGTGTACTGCAGGTCCTTTTGATTGCTTCTTTTTTATGGTGGGGATGTTCTTGAAGTGATTTTATAACGGTTTTGATCTTTGTTTTTACAAATGCAGTGATATTATTGTCCAAGGGATTACAATTATTGCTCCTACAAGATCTCCAAACACAGATGGAATCAACCCAGGCAAGTTTTTCAACCAGATAAGATCATGTTTTTCCACTTCTAAAAGCACTTTTGATATTCATATCAAACGCTTCTTGAAGTAAAAGTACTTTTCCTCCTTGGAAACATTCATTCATAGGTGGTGCTCAATCTGATATTTGAAATGAAATTACTTTCTTTTTTTAATGCTTTTCAGACTCATGCACAAACACTAGAATTCAAGACTGTTACATCGTCTCTGGAGATGATTGCATTGCTGTGAAGAGCGGATGGGATGAGTATGGGATTGCATACGGAATGCCAACAAAACAGCTCCTTATCAGGCGGGTAACTTGCATATCCCCAACAAGTGCTGCAATTGCGTTAGGCAGCGAGATGTCAGGAGGAATAGAGGATGTCAGGGCAGAGGACATTGTGGCAATCGATACAGAATCCGCAGTTAGAATCAAGACAGGCGCTGGAAGGGGAGCGTACGTGAAGAATATATTCGTCAGACGTATGACCATGAAAACAATGAAATATGTGTTTTGGATGACGGGTGACTATGGGTCTCACCCTGATGAAAAGTATGACCCGAATGCGCTTCCTGTGATCGACAACATCAACTACCGAGATATGGTGGCTGAGAATGTGACGATGGCAGGCCGGTTGGAGGGGATCTCCGGTGATCCGTTCACCGGAATCTGCATATCCAATGTGACAATTGGGTTGGCAGAGCATGCAAAGAAGGTACCATGGAATTGCACAAACATTTCTGGGATTTCAAGCGCTGTGGTTCCTCCTGCTTGTGACCTTTTGCCAGAACCTGAAAAGATCTCAACATGTGATTTTCCTACTGAATGCTTACCTAATGAGAATGTCAAAGTTAAGATGTGTGCATATAGAAGAAAAATAAAGCATTCAAACGACCTGTAAACATATATCAAATTAATGAATGCGAAAAATACATTTGGGTCATTTAAGTTGAAGGTTTGACAAAACTAGTCTCATTTGGATTTTTGCTTTAGCAATTTAGACACACATCAATTAAGATATCGCCAATTTAGTTCCCAAAGCCTAAACCACATAAACTTACACAACTCAGGAAATTACTACTCTCATTAGAGTAAGGCTCTGTTTGGTTGGAGGGTTTCAGAGGGGAGGGGAGGAAAATGGAGGATTTGTGTGTGTTTGATTGAAGGAAATAGGGGGAAGGGGAGGAAAGTGGAAGACTTTCAAAATCCTCCACTTCCTCCCATTCTAAACCCTCCAAATCGGGGTATTTCGAAGGAAACGTGTTGATAACCACAAACTATCTATCTTCTTATTGTCAATTTGGTACAACTTTCAATAAGTTAAATTGAACTAAGAGTATTTTGTTTTTTTATGATTTGAATTGGAAGCCAATTACTTGGTTACTTCGTATTATAGAACTAGGCTGCTAGCTTTCTATGCTCAATTAAGACCCTTTCCTATGAAGTGCAACTTGGTCATTCACAATAATAAGGTTCAAGCTAATGTTCAAATGTTTCATGGATTACAATTTACAACACATGAACAAGTTGAATTTATGAATACAATGAGGTAAAGATGTAGTTGAGATGTACAGAAGCTAAACGGTCAAGGGCATGGTCCATGTGTAATAACTTTATCCAAACAAAAACACTGATACACTAAATTCCTCACTTCGTGGGGCACATACATATGAAGTCCTCAGAAGATAACAGGCAAAATTCAAGTAACAAATCAATACATGAACAAAAACATAATGTAAATGGAAAGATTGAAATAAGCATGTTGGGAATATTTTATGGTGTCCAATCTAATTAAATATCTTTGTATTTGTGTAGTTATTAATTAAATGTGTAATATGAGACACAATTGTATATCAGCCAATTAGCTTCTTTGTAATCCATAAGTTAGTCATCATCTCCTATAAAAGGAAGCTAACTTATGGAAATCCAAAGGCTTGAGAGAAGGGGCGGAGGGAGGGGTGGGCCACGCTGGGCCCTGGCCCATGGTAATTTTTTTATTTTTTGTATTATATATGAATTTTTAAAAATTATTTAGAAATGGTCAAGTGCAAATGAAATACTGGCCCAGTGTATGGCCCAGTGTATGGCCCAGTGCAAATAAACTCCACTGTAGCCCAGAAAGAAAAGAACCCCAATCGGCGGAACCAAAGTCAGGAAAGAAAAGAACCGCAAAAGTGCAGAACCAAAACGGCAAAACCAGAGTAGAAAGAAAACACTCCTCAACTCTGCTCGCCCGCACAACTACCTCCCTCCACCCTTGCGCAGCTACCTCCCTCCGCCCTTGCGCAGCTACCTCCCTCCGCCAATCGCAGCTACCTCCCTCCGCCCCTGCTTGCTAGCCCGCCGCTCCTCGACTCCGCCGCTCGCCCTGCGTAGCTACCTCCCTCCGCCCTGCGTAGCTACCTCCCTCCGCCCTGCCTACTTCTCCAGACTCTAGTTCTCTCGAGGTAAGGGTTTCAGTTTTTTGTTTTTACAATTTTTAGTTTAATTTAAGTATTTTATTTGACATTTTAGTATGTGTTAGTGACTTAGTGTGTTACAATAGATTTGTGTTATTGTGTGCTTTGAATTGTAAAATGAAAAATTAGGATTTAGGAATGTCAAATCTGATTTGTGAATTCCTTGACATATTAATATGAATTATATAAATTCAAATAAAATATTAATTAGTTTTTTTATGTTTTTGCTAATTTTAGTAGGTATTGTCACTCAATTTACTTCCAAAAAGGGAAAAATCACACTGCGTTCGTTTTATAAGCCTAGTACAAACACTCAAAGTAGACAAGAGTTAAATGTCTCAATTGAAACTCCTAATATTTCATCTTCTCAAGAGGAAGTAATTTCTGATGCACTTGAAACACTCTTGTTGATCGTTTGACCATCTTTATTGAAAAGGAATTTGCCAACAAAATCGACGTTGAGTCTGACATAGATGAGTTTGCAAGGTCAAAGAGCATCGTGTTCAGTTAACGTTTTTGTTTCAAACAATGTATATATTGTTCAAAAATATTACTATGAATTTTAATCGTTATGTTCACACTATTGTCGTTTTTAAATTTTATATATAATGTTTTTAGTGTATAGTTGGCCCAGGGTAAACATCGGTCCTGGCTACACCCCTGCTTGAGAGTATAGAGGCGAGATAGAGATATTAGATTTACGATGTTCTCTCTCGAGGGAGAGCAGCGGGAGTGTACATGATATACCAAAGTTGCTGTTCATCTCAATATCTTTCTATCTGCTTCTTCTTCACTATCTATGATTGCTTGATTGTTAGAAACTGGGTGTATCATGTGGTATCATGTGCAAAATGCTACGCTTCTTTACAAATTATTTCTATAATAAGCATTTAGACGACGCCATGTTATGAACTTTATCCTCTCATATCATACTTCTTCTCAACTTCTTTTTAGTGTGTTCCTTTTGTAACAATAAGCACTTCACACTTTTATCTTGAGCACAACATTTTAATGGTAGAAAGACTATGATGTTGTGCTTCATAACATTTCTAAACTACAAGTATGTGGTTGTTTCTTCCCCAAGGATGCTAGCATATCATGGTATTTCATAAATGTCGGATGTGACTACATACATTGAAATTTCACTCAGGTGTGCAAAAATGAGGTTGTACGTATAAAGGTGTATAATAAGGAATTCATGCAATGTTATGCTGTATGCCTCCCACAAACACAATTCATGTCGGAAAAGATCAAATTACGGGTGGACAATTCGGTTTACCGTTCGGTTTTCATCGGTTTCGATTGGTTTTGGTTTATTCGATTTAGGAGATATTGTACCTGTTGGGTGTGTCTCGGAAAAACGAAAAAATATTAATTAAATAAAATTAATTAATAAATAAATAGCCAAAGAAAAACAGAAAAAGAGATGGGACAAAATTTAGCCAGAGCTCGTGCTACGCACGATGTCCTTAAAACGTATTCGTCGCCTCCCATGGTGTTAGGAGCGTTGCAACGACCGTTTCCCAGGATACGGTGGCTAACGAACTAACGTTCGAGAATACAAACGAGAGTTCCGGTGAACAAAAACAAAGGAGAAACACTTAAGAATTTTTTCGGAGAGCTGCAGGTGTTTTTCAGAGCTAAAACGTGTGCATGGTTGCTTGTGAACGTGTAAAACCGTGTGTTTGCTGCAAAACATCTGTCAGCTATTTATAGGAGGATTTGTTGTGTGTTAAATGGAGTGTTAATGGACCTAAACGTTGGACATCAATGACATGTCCGTTGGGCATTGAATCGTCCATAAACTGTGCATTTAACGCAACATTAAAAGATAAGAACGTTGGGCATTTATTGCTGTAACGGACCAGAAGACCTCGAGCCCTTCTGTTGCGATTAGAATACCTCAAGCGTTCTGGTGCGACCAGAAGACCTCGAGGGTTTCTGTTGAGCCCTTCTGTTGTGGACAGAATACCTCGAGGGTTTCTGTTGAACCGAACAGAAGCGGTTTTGTTGAGAACAGAACCCTCTTCTGTTCCGGACAGAACCGGAGCGATTCTGCTAGCCTGGAAAAAATAAAAGAACGTTTACGGGAAGAAACAAAAATTAAACAGTATCTTTGAATGATAGATTTTTCAGACGGCATTCATGTCCGCAGGTCGCCCGCGCACACGAGTCGCGATTTTTCTTCTCCATTTTCGGGATTTGATCGGCACCCCCTGCGCGTGAGAGAGAGCCTTTACCTTTAGGAATCTTAACTCCTTAAAAGATGTTTCCTTTTATAAGGGGGTGAAAATCCCTGGAGTTTTCCGGTGTGGTATAAAACACACTAGAAATCTATCATTTTCCCAGTTTTTCCATTTCAATGAGTGAATTTCGAGAATCAATTTCTCATTCACCCGTTATCCGTTTTGAGCGTACCATATATCGAGTTGTAGCCCTTAACAAGGACAATCTGAAACCACTTTGACCCGACCAAAATCAGAAGTGGACCCCACTCAAATAATTGCCCCAAAATGACCATGTAATGCAATTTTTAACACATTTTTCCAACAATCCCCCACATGAATGAAACTTGATTTTCGAGACTTAAAAAGACATGAAGATAGGAGGACACGTTGTGTTCACCGGATGATCCTTGCATACAGAGAGGTAGGTTTTATCCTTTGAACCTTCCGCTGTGAAAACATGTTTATTTATTGGCTGTCTAGTAGACTCGATGTCCTTGAACTATACTGCCGTCGTATAAACATTGACTTATCTTTACACAAGAACCTTCCAACTTTGTTCCGTTCTCATGGGTGTGCCCGTTTTGGTCATGGGTCAGCGTCCTGGTCCTGCAAGAGTTTCTAAAGAACTGAGCCTTTACAGTTCTCCTTTGAAGCGACCCTCTTCTCTCTCACATAGGTGATTCTTTCACGAGTATCCCACATACTCTTCCAACAGTACCAAACTAAAACCATTTGTATTTCAGTTTGGTTTTGGTTCGATTTCGGTTTGGTTTGGTTTCAAGTTCGGTATACCAAAGTGGAATTTATTATGTTCAATTAGTTCGATTTGATTCGGTTTCATATGTTTACTATTTTATTTGGTCAAGTTCTATAGTCTAGAATTAGAAAATGAAAATAGCAGTCAATCTCATCTTCTTGTATTTATTATTAAAATAAAATGTAAATGGAAATAAAGGATAGAAAAAGAAATATTTTTTTTTATAAATTAACACCTAATTTATCTTACTAAGACTATGACATGAAAACATATATCTAGCATCTTTTCAATCACTAGAAAAAAAGATTCACAACTCACAAAAAATAAGTTTATACTAGTAGTTGATTAGCATTTATAATATCACGTAAAATATTCAAAGAAAATTAAATGAGTCAATTGCAAAATGTTGCAAAATTCACAATTTTATTTGAATGAATTATGTAAAATGTATAACGTACTCTAATTTAACTGAAATTAATATAAACGCAATGTTCTATTGTTATCGCCAAACATCTTTTCTTATAAGTAGAGTACAAAATATAATAAATACAAATATATCTTATTAGCTAACTTTCTCATAATGAATGTATGAAATGTGTAAAAGTTAAAATGATATATGCTAAACATGTATTTTTCATGTATAAATTATTAATTTATATCCTAAAGATGAAGAGTGGAGATAAATATATAATATTTTTATAAATATTATAAGTTTTTCGGTGTTCGGTTCGGTTTATGTTTTTTTGGTTTAAATCCAAATCAAACCAAATCATTCAATTTGAGTAAAATGTTACCAAACGATTTCCCTTAAGTAAGTGAAACCAAACCAAGTACCGGTTTTTTGTTTGGTTTGGTTCGATTCGGTTAAACCAAACCATTTTGCCAACCCTAGATCAAATAGAACCTGAGCGATGACAAAAAAGGACAATGCAAATTTTACTAGTGTATTAACATAGTGTTTTTATTGGTGGGTTAGTTTGCCAAAATTTCATAAACTTTAGGAGTATGTTTGGAAGTTTGGGGGGAAGGGGAGATGTAGAATTTGAAGGTATGTTGTTGGAAACGAAAGGGAAGGGACGATGGGGAAACCCTTCATTGTATTTGGGAGTAATAAATTTGAAAAACGAGAGACGTTAAACGAATTATTACTAAAACCACTTTGAGATATGACAAATTCAAATAATTAAACTGATATTCATTTCAAATTGAGCTTAAATTATCATTTCGTTAATTATCTTTCAAACCCCTCCAAATTGGGGGAACTTAAAAATTGAGCATTTAGAGGGTTTTGGAGGGTAACAAAAGCTATCCAAAACCACCCCCTCCAATTTTTTAAACTCCCAAACATGAAAAGGGGGGTCATAAACACACATCAAAACCCAACTCCCAAACATACCCTATGTTACAATGCAATTTTTACTAAAACTTTCAATTTTGGCTCTCATTCACGAGCATTTTCAAATCGACATGCATGTAATGTATCTAGCCAAATGAAAATCTGGGTTTTATCAGACCTAGGACAAGTTCGTAGGCGAAGTTGTGAGTGGATATCCACGACCCGAATCGAAAAGCAATCAAGGTTCATACGGGTGGTCAAAATGTGAAAAGGTCGTGTTTGAAGAATTATTAAATGAGATAGATGAGGGACTTCAAGAATTGGCTATAGCTTCATTAGTATTAGCTCCATGATAAACTCACGGAGGAACTTGATGAAGAGAATGCCAACAGAAAGTTTGGATTCCATACGTCTCCACGCGGAATGAAGTTGCATGTTTCATGTATTCACATCAGCTTCATTTGGGTGTGATACAAAACTAGTTTAACGATATTCAAATGCTAAAATGTTTGTGAACAACATTGAAAAAAATAATTATTCGTGAAAATTGAAATTCAGCCAAAGTTCGTGACCATTTTTAACAAATAATCACTTTCTTAATTAAAGTAGAGCAACAGGGTTTCACAAATCTCCAATCACTTTCTTGTGTGTTTGGATGATGAAGGGGCTATTTATATAGTTGGTACAGAAGATAAAATTTTACATCAAGAGGAAAATGAGTTACACATCAGATCTCCAATAGTGTAGTTGGGGCAACAATCCACTCTTTGAACTTGACAAAGCACATATGACCCAAAAAGAATTCTACATTTGATAAACTTGGCAGTGTCCCTATTCGAAGCTGGTGATGAAAAAGAAACCAGCACATCAAACATATTAAGTTGAACCTTTGAAGTCGAACTATTTCCCTTATGGTTATTAACTTTCCAAGTTCTAACCCCAATATTAAAAAGTTGTTTCTGTCAATCACAAGTTGCATCATGGATTATTAAGAATATCTAAATATATGGAGACCGTAATGTGCATGCCTTTTGGCCAATAAGCTCAAACGCCAAACAAGGCTGACCCTGTCTATCTCAAGCCCTAGGGGGTAATAGTCTACCATAGGTCTATTTTATATGTATAAAAAAAATCTTTAAACGAAGATGCAAAATAAAAATAACATCTTCTTCTTCTTCTTCGTCTTCTTCTCCCTCTTTCCCCTATCCAAATTCGACCATTCGATCAATTCAAACATATAGTCTCAGGCTTGACATGAAGTGAGTTCTTTAATAAGTGTTCCAAGCGTTTTGGCCCACCAAGTAGTGCTAATCCGGAGGGCGATATGGCCAACCTTAAACAAACAATGCACTTGAAGTCATACATTGAGGCATCCCAACAACTACTTGCTGGTACGACACGTATATCAATCCACATGCAAGTCAGAATCTTCAGTGCTGGTCTCCAAGAAGCCGTGCTCATGTAACCGTGGAAGTATTAGTGCACTGGAACTAAAATTCATACTTGTCAAGTGATTACTGGTAGAAACCACATACCTAATTTAACATGATCTCTCATTAACAAGGGAGGCGATGATATCCCATTCTCAATGAATGTTTTCTTAGGAAGTTGGTCGGGGATGAAATGCATTGTTGCAGGGTGGCACTTTGCAGTCATGATTGATAGCTCTCGAACTGTAGAGAACTGTATGTCATTTTACTATGGATAAAAAGGAGTTCTTCATAATAAAACCATGACAAAGACCGTTTTTAAGACAAAGTTAAAATACCAAACCACTACAAAAGTTTGACCTATTATCTGTAAATCTCAAGTACTCAAGCGGGGTCAGTTCACCAAGCAATATCACATGATAAATACGGGCATCAAAATCATAGTTAGTTAAATACGGTACGAGAATTAATCGAGGTTTAATACGTACGCGTTTTATTCGGTAACATGAATGAAAAAACGGCCAAAAATTCATTGCATAAGATGTTGACTTTTAAAAAACATGTAAATATGTATACGTGTATAATACGACATCTGTTACTAAAATTCGAACAAAAAATACAGGGTATTATTTCAAACATTTAAATTATATATTTCACAAATAACATTTATAGTAAAAAAGAAATAACATTATGCACATTTTCAATAAATTTGCATAATAACAATAAAATGAGACTAAGTTAAAATCATTATCTTTATATGATCATCAAATAACACTCAAGTTAAACTCATCATTTTCATCAAGATGACAGATGACATGGGAAAAGTTGTGCAATTATTATGCTTATTATTGTTTATGTGTAAAAGTTTATACTAAAAAATGTAAGGTTTAGAACAAAAAGACCTTAATTTTGATATGTTTGTTTGGAAAAACATTAAAAATCTTGTAGTATCTTAAGTTTTAGTCTTTTAGGATGTTAGCTTTAGCCGCCATGCAATTAATTTTAGTATTTAGTAATAGTATATTTTGTAATGTAATAATACAAAAATACGGGGCCACATGGAGGATGTTTTCATTTTTGCTTTTAAACTATTGTTGATCTCCTATGCATTTAATGCATTCATTCAATTGATCAATTCATGTTTCTATTTTTTGTAAAATACGGAAAAATACTCCATAGTTTTTATATGGGAATTAGGAGTTTTTTTCCTTTTTAAACGGATTGACACTAATTTTCATTTTAAACGTGTTTTTTTACTATAAAAAACGGTACATGTTTAAAATGCATATAAACGCAAAACGAGCTAACTAGGATCAAAAGGGCGGTAAGTAACAAGTTGCAGACTTGCAGTATATATTCTTGATAAATATCCATCACCGTTGGTTTTGCGAGCAATGATTCCAGGGCCGGCCCCAGGTGTAACACCCCATCACCATAGACCCCGAGGTAGTTACTCCAGACCTCTAGTACTGTCCTCACAAACCGCCACTAGCCTTTTCCGCGCACTTTGTCCTCACTCGTGCGCGCCGTGAGAAACTTCCCAAGGGGTCACCCATCCCAAGACTACTCCCGTGCAAGCACGCTTAACTTTGGAGTTCTTGGGTGATAAGCTCCCTGAAAAGGAGATGCACCTCTGTTGGTATGAGTAGTACTATTAATCCATTTAAATTAAATCTCAAGTGTTACAATCACCCCCACTTAGGAACGCAACGTTTTCGTTGCGACCATCAACCAATCTCAATCAAATCCCAGAATCTTTTCCCCCGCTAAGTGCCTGCCCGATATCCAACGGATCAGCACACTGTCGCAGGGTTGCTCTGATACCACATGTAACACCCCGGCCCCGTAGGCCCCGAGGTAGTTACTCCAGACCTCTAGTACTGTCCTCACAAACCGCCACTAGCCTTTTCCGCGCACTTTGTCCTCACTTGTGCGCGTCCTGAGAAACTTCCCAGGGGGTCACCCATCCCAAGACTACTGCCGTGCAAGCACGCTTAACTTTGGAGTTCTTGGGTGATGAGCTCCCTTAAAAGGAGATGCACCTCTGTTGGTATAGTAGTACTATTAATCCGTTTAAATTAAATCTCAAGTGTTACACCAGGACAGGTGCACCCAGCTTACCAGCTCATTTTTTTTAATACTAGTATTATATGGATGTCAACCCAAGTCCAAAGAAAGAGCAGAAAAATTAGAACGGAGGAGAAGTGCTGAAGGGAAACTTCAAGCGACAAAGTGGTTGACTGGACCGAGGGAACTAGCGAGTCAACGACGCCTTTTTGCCGACAGCCCGCCATCGTGCTCCGCTAGGACGCCTCTCCAAGACCAGGACTGTTGGAGGAAAGTAGTTTATGAGTATTATATATGGGTGATTGTGTGTGGAAGAGAATTTTAGAGAGAGATGATTTTGGGAGAACTTGGAACTTTTATTGATTTGGAGCTTTTTGACTTGTGTTACAAATGAGTGATGAATGCTCTATTTATAGGTCTCATATGATCCTTCTAGGCACTCCTATATCTTTAACATTCTACAATATTCTGTGGGATTCTAGCTTAGGAATATTCTAGAAATATTTAGGTACATTAACTAAAGAGTACTCTAGACCTTTCTTTACTAAGTCCAACTTATGAGCTAACTAATTTATTATTTCTCGTACAACTACTAGCCCAATAAGTTAACTTCTAATGGACCCAACAATTGGGCTAAGCCAAGTTTAATTTCTAACATCCCCTCTTAAACTTGACTTAGCAACACCAAGTAGATTCCGCATCTTTGCAAAGACATCATGTTTGAGTGGCTTTGTGAGAATATCAGCGACTTGGTGTTGAGTCTTCACATACTCTACTTGAACTTCATTTTCCGCTATCTTTCCCCGGATGAAATGATATTGAGTGTCTATGTGCTTACTTTGATCATGAAACATTGGATTCTTTGCTAATGCAGTAGCTGACTTGTTGTCCACAAATATTGTTGTTGCTTCTTCTTGAGACATGCCGAGAGCTTGCAATATGTAGCAGAGCCAAATTGCATGACACACACTTGATGTTGCTGCAACGTACTCGGCTTCACAAGTGGATAAAGTGACGATCAAATGCTTCTTTGAAACCCATGTGAAAGCAATGTTTCCCATGTAGAATACGAACCCAGTTGTGCTCTTGCGGTCACCAATATCTCCGCCCCAATCACTATCACAATATCCAACCAGGTTAAACTCATCAGATGAAGAGTAAAACAACCCATATTCGGCGGTGCCTTTGAGATATCGCAAAATCCTTTTTGCCGCCTTTAAATGAGTTGTTGTAGGGGCCTCCATGAATCGACTAACAAGTCCAACACCGAAGAGAATATCTGGTCTTGTACATGTTAAGTATCTTAAGCTCCCCACAAGACTGTTAAAGTAAGTTGGATCAATCAACATCCCTTTATCATACCTTGATAGCTTCAGTCCACTTTCAACAGGTGTACCTACATGGTTAGAGTTCTCCATGTTGAACTTCTTAAGTACTTCCCTTGCGTAGCCTTCTTGAGTGATGAATATACCATCATTCATTTGCTTCACCTCGATTCCAAGATAGTAACTCATAAGCCCAGTGTTAGTCATCTCGAACTCCCTTGTCTTGACTTGCTTAAACTCATCAAACATCGTCATGTTATTACCTGTAAACATGAGGTCGTCCACGTATATGCACACGAACAGTATGTCTCCTTGATAATTTTTCTTGACATATAGAGCATGTTTTTGTGGACATTTCATGAATAAATTACCTTGGAAGTATCGATCAATTCTACTATTCCAAGCTCTTGGTGCTTGTTTAAGCCCATAAAGAGCCTTTCTTAGCCTGAACACTTTACCTTCTTCACCTTTCACCTTGTAACCTTCGGGTTGCTCAATGTAGACTTCTTCTTCTAGGAACCCATTTAAGAATGCGGACTTGACATCCATTTAATGTATCTTCCACTTGTTGTGAGCTGTGAGTGCAATTATCAATCTTATTATTTCCAATCTAGCAACGAGCGCAAATACTTCTTCATAATCAATGCCATGTCTTTCGGCGTAGCCTTTGGCCACTAGTCTTGCCTTGTACTTCTCAACTTCTCCTTTCGCATTTTTCTTGATCTTAAATACCCACTTCACTCCAATTGCTTTATGTTTTGGTGGAAGTGTGGCAAGCTCCCATGTTTTATTCTTCACAATTGACTTGATCTCATCATCCATTGCATCTCTCCACTTCTTGTTTCTTGTGGCTTCTTCAAAACTTAGTGGCTCACAATCACCAAATAGATTGAAGAGTGTAAGTTCATCATTTGAGTTCAAGTTTTGTGTTATCTCGTAAAGCTCTTGAATGCTTCTCATGCATGGTACTTCTCTTTCATCCGAACTTGGTGATGAAGCTTGATCTTGAGTGGGAGATGGTGACAAAAATCTTCTTTGTCACCAATGCTCCAATCCCACGAGCCTTCTTCATCAAACTCCACATCACAACTTATTATAAGCTTCTTCAAATCTGGATTGTAGAGTTTCTACCCTTTTGAGTGTTTATCATATCCAATGAATATAAACTTCTCACTCTTGTCGTCAAGTTTTGACCTAGTCTGATCGGGTACATGCACATATGCAATGCATCCAAATACTCTCAAGTGTGAGACTCCAGGTTTACCTCCATGCCATGCTTCTTGTGGAGTTATTCCATCAAGACTCTTCGTGGGGTAGCGATTTTGAAGATAGACAGCACAATCCACAGCTTCAGCCCAAAATTCTTTAGGCATATTCTTTGTTTTTAGCATGCTTCGAGCCATGTTGAGGATCGTCCTATTCTTTCTTTCGACAACTTCCTTTTGTTGTGGTGTTCGTGGGACAGTCATGGGACGACAGATGCCGTTATCTTCACAAAATTGATTAAAATCCTTTGATGTGAACTCTCCACCCTGATCTGATCTCATGGCTTTGATAGTGTACCCACTTTCTTTCTCAATAAGAACCTTAAATTTCTTGAATGCTTCAAAGGCCTATGATTTTTGTTTAAGGAAATATACCCATGTTTTTCTTGAGTAATCATCGATGAAAGTGAGAAAGTACTTACTTTTACCATGTGAACATGGAGTAATAGGACCGCATAAGTCGGTATGGACTAACTCCAATGGCTCCTTATCTTTTGAGGTAACTTCAATAGGGAATGGTTTCCTTGATTGCTTCCCAAGTATGCAACCTTCGCATAGCTGATCGGGATGATTGATGAAGAGCAAGCCTTTCACCATGCCTTTGGACGATAGCATTTTCAAGCCACCAAAGTTTAAGTGCCCATATCTTAAGTGCCAAATCCATGACTCGTCTTTCAAGCAACTTTTTAAGCATATGGCTTGATCTCTTTGAATGTCAAGCAATAACATTCGGTTTCTAGTCATCGGCACTTTAACAACTAGTCTTCCATTATTGTCTCGTAGAGAAAGACTACGATTATTTAAGTGAATATCGTAGTCCTTTTCTAGGAGTTGTCCCATACTTAGAATATTTGTTTTTAAGTTGGACACATAGTAAACATCGGAAATGAATTGGTGACTTCCATCGTTTAGGCGGATTAGAACATTACCTTTACCATTCACCACAACTTTAGACTCATCTCCAACTTTACCTTCACGAACATGCTCTTATCTCCCATCATGTGGTTGCTAGCTCCGGTATCTAAATACCACATGCTCTTCTTTGTTTGTTCTTCATGATTTTCCATCAACAAGGTAAGTTCTACCTCATTATTCATCTCCATGCGATGGCCCTCTTCTTTAACATGACGAGAGCGATTGCATTCATATGCACAGTGGCCATATTTATTGCAATTATGACACTTTAGTTGATACTTGTCGTACCTTTGTGGTTTGCTTCCTCTCCCACGGCCTCTACATGCTTGCATATATTGAATTCTTTCTTCATTGTTGAAGTTTGTATAACCACAGCCTCGACCACCTCTTCCACGTGCACCACATCCTCGATCATAACCACGAACTCGTTGGCCTCATTTTTCACCTCTATTCTCCCCTCTTTCTTTAAAAGAGAGTTTGGAGTAAAGAGAATGCTCTAATGTTTCATTAGATTTATGTCTCACAACTCTTTCTTCATGGACTTGTAGTGAGCCCATAAGTTGATCAATGGTCATGGACTCTAAATCCTTAGACTCTTCTATGACCACCACAATATAATCATAGTCTTTGGTGAGAGAGCGAAGAATTTTCTCAATCACCGTTATGTCTTTTAGTTCCTCACCATTCCTCTTCATCTCATTTACAATTCCCAACACTCTAGAGAAATAGTCGGATATTGATTCTGAATATTTCATTTTAAGTTGTTCGAACTCACCTCTAAGAGTTTGAAGACAAATTATCTTCACCTTGTCGACTCCCTTGAAAGAATTATGTAGTATCTCCCATGCTTCTTTAGAAGTGGTGGCAGTTGCAAGTTGCAACCTTCTCGAACATGGCCTCGTATAAGCATTGATATATGAGAGTGAGAGCTTGTTGATCCTTCCTTCTACTCTTATTGGAGACTATCTCTTTGGGATTGATTTAAAGCAGCATCATCTTGAGGATCCTCATAACCTTTCTCAACAATCTCCCATGCATCTTGAGATCCGAGCAAGGCTTTCATGCAAATGCACCAACTAGAGTAGTTTTCTTTAGTGAGGCGAGGAAATTGGAATGGAACTAAGTCGTTGGCATTCATCTTTCTTGAAAGGATTGATGGCTCTGATACCACTTTGTTAGAGGAAAGTAGTTTGTGAGTATTATATTTGGGTAATTGTGTGTGGAAGAGAGAATTTTTGAGAGAGATGATTTTGGGAGAACTTGGAACTTTTATTGATTTGGATCTTTTTGACTTGTGTTACAAATGAGTGAGGAGTGCTCTATTTATAGGTCTCATAGGATTCTTCTAGGCACTCGTATATCTTTAGCATTCTACAATATTCTATAGGATTCTAGCTTAGGAATATTCTGAAACTATTTAGGTACATTAACTAAAGAGTACTCTAGACCTTTCTTTACTAAGTCCAACTTATGAACTAACTAATTTATTATTTCTCATACAACTACTAGCCCAATAAGTTAACTTCTAATGGACCCAACAATTGGGATAAGCCAAGTTTAATTTCTAACAAGGACTCCACGACTGAAGTGCCTCACGCAGCTCGGGGGAGTCACCGCCTCACCGCCTATCCGCCACGGTCTCACGACCCTCTGCCCCTTACTGCCTCGGACCTTGGTAATCGATAAACATATACTACTATGATTTTGTAATGAACCGAGACAAGCCTGAGCTGGAAGGGAACATGTCAGATTTAATTAAAACAAAGCACGTGACAAGAGGTGAGGAAAATGTGAGCAGGAGAAAGAGTCACAGAAACAAAACAACCAACACAAGGCTGAAGGACTACGTGTGGCAGAGCCATAAAAGCTAATCTGTTAAAGGAGAGAGACTACGTAAATTCTGATTGAAAGTTCTCCTCTCTCTTTTGGGTTCTTTTCTTTCTTTTCGTAATTTCCATAATAACCAACTGTTACTGCTCATGAATCGTTGATGCTTGGTCTCTACTATTGTGTTCTGTATTTCCGTCGTTACATTGGTGCTTTCATTGCTTCATGGCGGAAGGTACCCGCCTCAAGGAGATTGATTCACGCTTAAAGGAGTTATTGACGGAGATCAGACGGTCAAGGACTTACCTTGCGATGATTGTCAACTGTCTGATTCGGTTTCAGCAACCGATCGAAATCTCAACAAATTATTGGAAGCGCTGGAAATTTGACAGAGGGACAATGAAGAACGGTTTCACTCCATGGAATCGATAATAGACACATTGGCTAAAAATTGTTCAGATCTGAACCCTGGTTCTTCTGGAGGATCACGAACGCCATTTCAGTTTAGGAACGTAAAATTGGATTTCCCTCGTTTTGATGGTTCCGAAGTGTTACAATGGATTTTTAAAGCCGAGCAGTTCTTCTCTTATTACAATATTCCTGATGATCAACGTTTAATTATTGGTGCTGTTCATATGGAAATGGACGTGGTTCCATGGTTTCAAATGATGAGTAAATCTAATTCTTTCCATTCATGGATTGAATTCACCAGAGGACTGGAATTGGAATTTGGCCCTTCTCCCTATGAATGTCCTAGATCAAATCTGTTCAAACTGACTCACGACACTTCAGTTCATGACTATTACTTGAAATTTACTGCTCTAGCTAATCGAGTGCAAGGTGTGACCACAGAGGCTTTATTAGACTATTTTGTGGGGGGTTTAAAGGAGGATATTCATAGAGAAGTTATCGCTTAAGCACCAATAACGTTACTCGGATGTGTTTCATTGGCTAAATGATTTGAGGAGAAGTATACCTCTAAGATCAAACCTTACCAATCCATTATTCTTCCAAACCGTCAAACAATCAGTCATCTCAATCCCTTAAATCCACGTCTTTACCTCCACTACTTCCAAATCCACCATTCAACAATAGTTCGGTCACTCTCAATCACAAACCCACGACCATGAAGAAGATATCTGCAGCAGAAATGCAACTTCTACGAGAAAAAGGGTTGTGTTTTACTTGTGAAGAGAAATTTACCCCTGCACATCGTTGTCCTAATAGACAGTATTTACTATTACAGGTGGATGAAGAGGATACTGCTATGGAAAACAACAAGGGGTTTGATGACATATCTGATAAGCAACCGGTTATCGATGTTGAACCACACCTCTCCTTTAATGCTCTCAAAGGGTCAACAGGTCTGGGCACGATGCGCTTCCAAGGTACAATTAACGGATTACCGATTCAGATGTTGTTAGACAGTGGCAATTCTGATAATTTCCTACAACCTCGAATTGCTAAATGTTTAAAGTTAACCATTGAGTCTACTGAAAATTTTAACGTCATGGTGGGCAATGGATCAACACTGACTGTCGAAGGGTGTGTCAAGGAGTTGCTAGTGAAGGTTCAGGGGCATCCTCTGGTATTACCACTATACTTGTTATCTGTTAGTGGGGCAGACTTGGTTTTGGGAGCAGCTTGGCTTTCAACATTAGGTTCTCATATTGCTGAAATTCATCAGTTAAAAAGACTACATAAAACCCAGGCAATAGCTGAAATTCATTTCTTATATTTCCAGGCCGATAGTTCTGACAAGTCAGGGTCGGAATTACCTTCTCATATGCCACCGGATTTGGCAGCCTTACTTACAAAATATCAACAAGTATTTGATGTCCCTAAAAGATTACCTCCACCCAGATATCTTATGCATTCTATTCCATTGGTTCATGGTGCAAATCCTGTTAAGGTTTAACCGTACAGATACCCTTTTAGTCAAAAGCAGCAGATTGAGAAAATGGTTCAAGAAATGTTGCAAGAAGGCATCATTGTTCCCAACACAAGTCCTTTTACTTCTCCGGTAATCTTAGTAAGGAAAAGGATGGCACATGGAGATTCTGTACAGATTACAGAGCTTTGAATGCTATTATAGTAAAGGATATAGTATTCACATACCCACGGTGGACAAATTAATTGATGAACTGTTTGGAGCTCAATATTTTTCTAAGTTCCATCTTCGGTCGGGTTATCATCAAATATTGACGCGGGCAGAGGACACCTATAAAATGGCTTTTCGAACTCATCAGGGTTTATATGAGTGGCTGGTTATGCCATTTGGTCTCACAAATGCTCCTGCTACCTTCCAAAGTTTTATGAACGATGTATTTCGCAAGGTTTTACGCAAGTGCGTTCTGGTATTTTTTGACGATATTTTAGTCTACAGTCCATCATGGGAATCTCACCTAGAGTACTTAGAGTTGGTTTTGAAATTATTGCACGAGCACCAGCTTTATGCCAAACTCTCAAAGTGTTGTTTTGGTAAAAAACAAATGGAGTATTTGGGTCATACAGTTTCTGCTGAGGGAATAGCAATGGAAACCAGTAAGGTACAGGCAGTCCTAGATTGGCCTGTTCCCGACAACTTAAAACAACTCCGTGGATTCCTGGGATTAACGGTGTATTATCGCAGATTCATTAAGGGGTATGCTTCTTTAGCTGGGCCCTTAACGGAATTGTTGAAGAAAGACATCTTTGCTTGGAACGAGGCCGCTACAAGGGCATTTGAGCTTCTCAAAAGAGCCATTACTAGTGCACCGATATTGAGGCTACCTAATTTCTCGTTACCTTTCACACTGGAAACGGATGCTTCAGGAAGTGGGATTGGGGCTGTCTTGAGCCAAAAATAACATCCCATCACATATTTTTCCAAAAAAATGACTACCAAAATGCAACAACAGTCTGCTTATGCCCGAAAGTTTTATGCGATAACTGAAGCCATTGCTAAGTTTCGACATTATCTTTAGGCCACAAGTTTGTGATCCGTACAGATCAAAAGAGCTTAAGGAGTTTGACCGACCAAACCTTACAAACCCCAGAGCAACAAAAGCGGTTGCATAAACTACTCGGCTATGACTTCACTATAGAATATAAACCTGGATGAGACAACGTGGCTGCAAATTCTCTGTCTAGGTCTTATTATATGACTCTATCTCAACCTATTCCAGTGATAATATCTTCATTACAGAAAGCCCAACAGGAAGATTCTAAGCTGCAAAAGATTACTCAAGAGTGACCTAACAATCAATCTAGTTATCCCCACTATGAGATGGTGGATAATATACTACTTTGGAAGGGCAGATTGGTAGTACCCCACGGACATGGCCTGATTCATAACTTATTATAGGAATTCCATTCATCTCCAATTGGTGGTCATGCGGGTTTTAAAAGGACATTAGCGAGGGTGACGGCTCAATTTGTTTGGCAAGGCATGTAAAAAGACATACAACAATTTGTTAGGCAATGTTTGGTGTGCCAACAGGCTAAGACAACAACGATGTTACCTTCCGGATTGTTACAGCCATTGCCTATTCTGAATCAGATTTGGGAAGACGTGGCTATAGATTTTATTATAGGGTTACCCTTGTCTCATGGATTCATAATAATCTTCGTGGTGATAGATAGGCTCTCTAAATATGCACATTTCACACCACTCAAAACGGATTACAATAGTAAAACGGTAGCTGAAGCATTTATGAAAGTGGTTGTCAAATTGCATGGATTACCTAAGACCTTTGTATCTGACAGAGACAAGGTCTTCACTAGCCAATTTTGGAAACATCTCGGGCAGATGAGTGGAACTACGCTAAGTATGTCAACCGCCTATCACCCACAATCAGATGAACAATCCGAAGTTTTGAATAAGTCTATGGAACTATACCTACGGTGTTTCACCTGTGATTCTCCCAAGGAATGGACTTTTTACCATGGGCTGAATACTGGTATAATACAGCTTATCATACTAGTGCCGAATACACTCCATTCAAGATAGTCTATGGCAGGGATCCACCACAATTGTTAAGGTATGTACCTACTGACAGGGATCCAATAGACGTGAAAGAGCAGTCGATAGCTCAGGATGCAATGATTGAGAAGCTCAAGGTTAATTTGTAGAGAGCTCAACAATTGCAGAAGAAATATGCAGATCAGAAGAGGTTAGATGTAATACCCGAGATTAACTTAAGAGGATTAATAGTACTACTCATACCAACAGAGGTGCATCTCCTTTTAAGGGAGCTCATCAACCAAGAACTCCAAAGTTAAGCGTGCTTGCACGGGAGTAGTCTTGGGATGGGTGACCTCCTGGGAAGTTTCTCAGGGCGCGTATGAGTGAGGACAAAGTGTGCGGTAAAGGCTCGTGGTGTTTTGTGGGGACAGTACTAGAGGTCAGAAGTAACTACCTCGGGGCCTGCGGGACCGGGGTGTTACATTAGATGTGGAATTTGAGACCGGAGAACAAGTTTTAGTTAAACTTCAGCCATACCGTCAACACTCCTTAGCTCTCAAGAAGAACCAAAAATTGGGGCTAAGGTAATTTGGGCCCTTTCAGATCATTGACAAGGTTGGTAGAGTGGCTTACAAACTCTTACTACCACCTGATACAAGAATCCACCCCGTGTTCCATGTGTCTCAACTAAAGCGTTGTCATGCCAACCATCACCATTCATATGTCCCATTACCCATTGCTAGTTTGGGCGACGAGCCACTGATACAACCTAGACAAGTGTTGCAGACTCGAGTTATTCAACGGGGAAATCAACAGCAGGTTCAGTATCTGGTGCAGTGGGAAGGTATGCCCACAGAACAATCTACCTGGGAAGATCGTTCAATGATGACAAAATCTTATCCTAATTTCAACCTTGAGGACAATGTTATTCTTAATGGGGGAGGCAATGTAATGAACCGAGACAAGCCTGAGCTGGAAGGCAACATGTCAGATTTAATTAAAACAAAGCACGTGACACGAGGTGAGGAAAACATGAGCAGGAGAAAGAGTTACAGAAACAAAACAACCAACACAAGGCTGAAGGACTACGTGTGGCAGAGCTATAAAAGCTAATCTATTAAAGGAGAGAGACTAGGGAAATTCTGATTGAAAGTTCTCCTCTCTCTTCTGGGTTCTTTTCTTTCTTTCCGTAATTTCCTAAATAAAATAGCTACTATGATGAACTCTATAACTGGAATATTTGCTATTGTTGCTTGCTTGTAATAACCAACTGTTACTGCTCGTGAATTGTTGATGCTTGGTCTCTATTATTGTGTTCTGTATTTCCGTCGTTACAGATTTTCTGAATTTTCTCTTTTTTATTGCAAATTAGGTTCTTGTTACTTGTTTATTTATTGAAAAAATGAAGTAATTCAATTGTAATGTATATAACAATTAAGAATTTGGTTACGTATGTGACAAGAAATTGGCTTCAGTCTTTCACAATTTGTTAGGTATTTTGTTTTTTGTTCTTTAATTTGTTTTAGTTCTTTGCTCTTCCATGCTTCTTTAATAAATGTGGCCAATAGTTTGTTGGTAGATATATGGAGCATCTGTTCAATTTGTATACTATATTTTCGATTTGTGTATTGATTAATCTGTTCAATTTTAATGATATAGCTCACTCACTAAACTATAAAGGAAAAAAAGATTAATTTAAGTTGATTAATTTTTTAATGATTTCTCAATTGTAATAGAAGTATGTTCGAAGAATATTTCATGGATTCAAGCTGTTATATCAGATGGAGGCTTTGGGTAGATCATAAATGCTAGCAAAATAAGGCATCTTGTTTAAGTTTGAATAGAGCCTCTAATTTGTCAGGACCGGCCCTAATGATTTCCCATAAAGAAGAGAACTTTTGTGACTACAAGTTGATACTACAAGTTGAATGATGGGCTGATGGGTACTATAAGTCATAAAGAAATTAAAAGCCTGCAACTTAGTTATTGGCTAGCCGAAGAAATATTGGTGAGCAATGTTAGATTAATAAGATGAAACTTCATCTATAAATAATCATATACTCCATTCATTCCATAAAATTTTTCTTGGTTTGATTTAGATCGGAGTTTAAGAAATTGAGAATAAAATGGAAATATATGATTGTGGTTAATTAAGAAAAACGTAAATACGGAGTAAATGTTAGTCACACAAAACTTCCAAAAAAGGAAATGTGAAGAATTTTATGAGATAGAAAGAGTATCTATTAGTTCTTCATATTCTACTTGATATCAAAGCCACATCCTTTGGCCAATTGGCCAATTCATGTGAGCACTAAATCTCAAACAATTCTTCTAGGAGTTGTTTTATTTTAATTCAAGCTTCCAACAAACGCTGTTGCATCTAGCGAATCTTGTTGACTTGAGCTACTTCATTAATATGAAATCATATTGGGTGCATATAAAATGATGATGACATTTTCCATTATACTTTCAATTGAATGCAAAGTTTAGGGAATTGAAATAGATTACATTGTTTGGTTAAATATGTAATCTATTTTTAAGTAGCAAGCAAAGGTGTTGCACTGCTTTATAGAAAGTATGCAAAATATTTTACCACCCCATATAAAATACTTTACATGGCAGGAAAATATTTTTAAAGTACACTACAATAGTTTACATTAAATAATCAAACCAAATGATGTAAAACTTTAATGTCCTATACTTCCTATGCAAAGTAATTTTTTTACGTCCTATGAAACACACTCTAATTTTTTTAAGCCTAGCGACAATAAATTTTGAGACCGGCTGAATTTAGCATAATTCCATATAAAATATGTTATAGATAACATATTTTTGCTTGGAAAATGCTGTTTGTAATACACATTTTTTTTGTTTGAAGTACACGTATTTTGTAGACATAGGGACGGATTTATTTGAGGCCAGGGGTGGACTTCAGCCCAGCCTTTTTTTATTAGTTAGTATACGTATATGTAATATTCCGTGTCCATCTCAAAATTAATTCTCAGTCCAGCCCAAAAGTTGACTCCCGGCCCAACCCACACAACACACACTTACCTGCGTTTCTGGGTGACTTACGCTAATCGGCCAATGTGCGATTGCCGATTGAAGCCCTGCGAACTGCGAAGTGAGCCTGCGACGAGGATGAAGGAGCTGGCAGCTGCGAAGACGGCGAAGTGAACCTGCGTCCTGCGAGGAAGACGTGAACCGCGCCGCTCCACCCACCTGCGTCGTCCGCTTCTGCGAGTCTGCGGCTCTGCGCTCCCCTCTAGACTCCAGCCTCCAGCCGCTCCAGGTAAACTCCAATTGGACCAATTCTCCAAATTTTATTTCTTTTTTTGATTTTAGATTTTCTTTTTTATTGTGAATTTGTGTAGAAGTTGATATAAAGGTATCTTATTGACTCACTCGGAGTACAATATTTGGTTTCTTGGATCAGTTAGATGCTTTATAGTTTATCTTCCACTACTTTTGAAATTGAGTGTTCTTGTCAGTGTTTATATGTATTTCATAATGAGATGGAATAATTGAAAGCAGCTCTATCGAGCACAGAGTATGAGATAATTACTGAATGTGCTCTGGCTAATTTTTCAGACTCCAAATTCTTTCCATCTTATTGTGTATTAATCTAGTATTACTTTTACGCTTTAGCATTTTAGAGTTTTAGGGTTAGGGAATCATTATGATTATTAATTGAATTTTTCATTACACAATTAAATAGTGTTTAATTCTTTATAAATTTATAATGATTAAAGATAGAATTAAAGAGTGGAAAACGATTTAGTTAATATACAATTGAAAATTGAGAATACTTGTTACTTTTATGTACAAGTGTACAACATTTGTTTTTTTCTTATTAGTTATATTTTTTATATAAGTATTTTAATTTATACCAATATTGGAAATGTTTTTTAGAATGGATAATGAACACATTGCCAAGAAAGGAAAGAAGTTGATTTCATCACTTTCCGAAAGTGAATCGTGAAACTGGTGAAGGGAATTCTGAACCTATACCTACGATAGTGCCTAATGTACTCAATAATATAGATGTAGATTCTATGATTGATGAATTTTATATTTTGAAGTCGCGTAGGGCTCAACTTAAATAATGTTTTGATGAATATTTAAAGTGTTGACGACTTGACTTATTATTATGTATGTGTATTTCAATTTTTTTCTCAGCCCACCCCATTGTGACTTTCTGGATCCGCCCCTGTGTGCACGTCATTTTACACACCGGTCGAATTGTCTGTGTACAGGCAATTTTTTTTTCATTTTGTGAAGAGAATTGCTTTTTGAACCGACAATGTTTTTTGCCTGGGCCACAAACAAACAAATTGTCGATGCAAAAAATAATTCTCTTCACAAAATGAAAAAAATTGTCTATGCACAGACAATTCGCTCGTCGTGTACACGAAGCATGATTGTTTTTATTTTACATGCAAAGCTATAATCCAAACCACCTCTGCAACTTCCAAAGTGGGGAAAAGAGTCATAGAGACTTCTCATTTCTTCAAAAGCTCCAACCAAACAAAATCTGAATGCATCTTTACTTTTGATAAGCAGAGAAGTGTTACTTTCTTTCGTCCTAATACCATGGCTGCTGCTTTTGCTGCCTTCACCCGAACACAATCGTCATTTAGGTTAAAGCACCTGGTCAGCCGGAGCTACTCGACAAAGGCAAGTGGCGTACTTCCTCCCCCTGATGTCTCTCGTTTGGCCGCAACAGCTCGCATTTCTCTCACCTCAGCTGAGGTATGTCATATGTGTGTACTGTGTACTCTCCATTGCCCAATGGTTGTTTTGTTCAAGGAAATGTTAGAAGCCAAAATGATTAGATTGTTTCGTGGTTTTGTTTTCCTTTTTCGTCTTACAGATTGAAGAATTCGCTCCTAAAATTGGACAAGTGATAGACTGGTTTCTCTCTTTCTCCCTCTCTATGTTTGTTTATGTCTCAATGAGTCAATATATGGTTACGGAAGAGATGTAGTGTATATGAATTATGAGTATACTCCATGTCTAATTCTATATATTTGCGAACCCAATTTCATATCCTTTTCTGTTTCATATGACACCAAATTTTATGATACCCCGAATGCACCAATATATTTATCTTGCTGCTCTTAAGTAGATACAAGAAGCTCGATTTGTTAATGGGTTAATTATCAAAATAGGACCAAAAGTCACTCACTTTGCACAAATAGGACCAAAAACTAAACTATGTTTTCATAGGACTAATTATGTGTGTCTTGGACAAATATACCCTTCTAGCTATTGAAATGTTTTAATTCATAATAAAAAAATAAAAAATAATAAAAATTCGTAAAAAATACTAAAAAACTAATAAAAATATTTCGATAATAATAACTAATTTATTATTTTTTTTTTCAAAAAATAAAAAAATTAAAAAAATTTTTAAAAAAATAAAAAACTCAAAAAAATAAAATAAAATTCACCGACGCCTCTGCCGCCTCTGCACCACCACCTCCAGTCACCGGGAAAATAAATGCCAATTTCATTACGAATGCCATATTTATGGCAGAAAAAATTGAAATTGTTGGCATTCTCAAAGAGAAATATGCCATGTTTATGGCATTTTCGGGAAAAATGGCATTTTTTCACCGCCCGGAGATGGTGGTGCAGGGAGGTAGTACAGGCGGTGGGAAAGGCATCCATTTTATTTTAATTTTTTTATGGAGTTTTACTTTTTTTTATTAATTTTTTAAAAAAATAAAAAAATTTAAAAAAATTATTTTTTTTAATTTTTATTTTATAAATTCTTTATAAATTTATTAATTATTTTTCTACAAATTTTTGAATTTTTTTCCGAATCTATTATGAATATAACATTTAATTAACTCATATTTAAAGGAAGGGTAAGAATGGAAGGAAAAAATAGGTATGTTTCCAATAGGACTAATTTGGTCCTATTTTGAAAAGAAAAATATAGTAAGTCCTATTTTGAGTTTTTGGCATAGTTTTAGTTCTATTTGGAGTAATTTCTATTTGTTAATTCGGCAGCTTTGGGTTTAGCTATGTGGATTGAGGAGTAGATTTGGAGAACTGTGATATCCTGGATTCTAAACTGAAATATTGTGATCTGAGGTCAATTGAAGGGAAATGACTAGAATGCGATTGTCGAAATTTACTTTTGAATCAAGAAGAGTAACATCAAGCATTCACCTTCTTTGACTATGTATAGACAGCAAGTATTTCAGAATGATGGGACCATTAAAACCTATTGGACCTTAAAACTTTTCTGCCTAATGACTGTCTGGTATGGACAAATGTAATTTTAAAGATGAATGTTTTTTGAATTTTGACAAACATACCTAAACTGATTAATATTATCATAAAATAACAAAGAAAAGTGAAATTACTATTGGAGGATGACTTGGCCATTGTACTATGGGTTACTTTATTGGTTTGATAAATGGGACAATGATTGGCAACATGGTGTCTTCAGATAACACACCGTTATTTGAAGATGGAGGGAGTATATCATAGTCAGTCTTTTCTACTTGCAAAAACATCAGTGAAAGTAGGCTATTGTTTGGTTTGACAGACACCTCTAGTGCTGCTCTGCTTTACAATTTGGTTTCTTTTGCAGGTTTGGTCAACTCCAAGCTGTTGATCTTGGAAGTATTGAGCCATCCATTAGAGCAGGTAATTTAAATGGAGAAGTATGTTCTAAGATATGTTTTTGTTATAGTTCCGTTGTCTCTATCTAGAAGCTATTACTCTGTCATGTTATCAACTTATAACCACATAGTCTTCCAGCTGTAAAGAAGTCTCGTGCTTCAATATGTTAAGGATTAACTACATCTACCTCTCCTAAGGTTTGTTTCAAATTATCAAGTGATCTTTGAGGATTTCTAAAAGTCCAAAGATACCCTTCTCGAGTCAAGTAAATGACAACAAAAAATGACTCCATATAATGTTATGACTTAGAGGGAACTATGTATCTTTGACTAAATCACTCTTAACGTTGGTCCCATATATTTTCTAATTTTTTTTGTTAACATTTGTTCATCATCATCATTACCCCAATGTCGCAAAGGCTCCCATCTACAATGGGATAAGGTGGTCGGATATACACAGCCTTACCCTTGTACTAAAGCACAGAAAGACGGTTGCAAATGATGGAAATTTGTTAACATTTAAGTAGAAAAAATGCGCACAAGATTATATCCAAGCAAAACACTTAATTTCTACTAATATCATTATATATACCAAGATGACCAAGTCCTCCATTTCATCCCCTACTAAAACCTTTCATCTGAACCAACCTAATTGAAGAGTGAAAATTCATGTTTGGAGTTTGGACTTTGTTCATATATTTTGGTCTGTATGTCTTTGTTCATATCATGGCCTAATAAGTTCAAATACATCCTATATCCTACATAGATACCGAAGGCGATAGCTTGCGGGATGATGTGCCTGAATGTTTTGAAAACAGGTACGATATTAAACTTGTCAATATTATCTAGTTACTGATTTATCATTGTTGAGAGATTTGCATGCTTTCTCATCCTACTTCAAACACATCAAATTTTTTTCTGGACAGGGAAGCCATTATAGCTGCATTTCCAAGCTATGAGGAGCCTTATATCAATGTCCCCAAAGTGCTGAACAAGGAATAATTTTCTCAGAGCATCCCAGCCATATGCCTAGTCCTTATGTATTGTATCCATTCTCATTTACTTGAAATAATTTTTTAAAGCTTCATTTGTTTGAAGCATTTCTCTAGATTCTTTGAATTTGAATGGAATATTTAAAAGAGGAAGTCTTGGTATTAACCAGTTCTATTTTTCTTTTTGTAGGGGCTAAGCGTTTATACTATAGAACAATTTATTTTCCAGGAAATTTCACGAGATAATATTTTTCACAACTTATTTTTCTTCAATCAGACGGAGATCATCGTTTTAAGTACAATATCAACTAATAGTCGAACATTGCCTAAACATAGTAATTGAACATCCTTATAAATCAAATTGAAGCTAGCTCGTTTGGTAACATTGGATTGACTCATACAAAATACTACTCGATTTTTTCAAATTGATAAAACTTTGGTTGAAACAACTAAATTGATTGAATTATGAAAAAATTATAAATAAATAAATCGTGTTAATTAAATAAAGAAAATTTAAGATAGAAAAGCAAATTCAGCTTTGCTTATTTGATTATTAAGTAATTGACCTAAATAAAAGTAAAACATTCGAAAAATTCCACAATAGAGGTTATCGTTAATTTATTTCATAAATAAGAACAATTTAGTTAGTGTTCCTATTGTACCCTTGTCCCCTCCATCGTGTTTTACCAAGTTTGGGTCCAGGCTTTTCTTCTCTCCCTCTTTCACAGCTACCATCGTTCTGTAAATCCAAATCCCCCTTTTCTTCTCTTCTTGTTTTTCAATAATAACTTCAATTAGTGATATGGCTATTTTAGAGGTATGGATGATGCTTCGTTTTTCAGCCACCAATTAGCGGCGAATGACGGTGAGCTGCGACCAGGTATGACTTCTTTTTCTATCCTCCTTTTTTTCCACCATATCTGTGTTTGTTATTATTTTTTTTATTAACCAAAGGATGACACCTCATCCTGAGGCGCCCAACACTTTTTTTTATATCGAATTTTTTTTATTTAATTTGATTTTCGTCGACTTGTTTTGATTATTTTTGAATTTGAAATGACATAATTATAATTATTTTCCCTATTAAAAACCATCTATTGGAAAATTGATTTTAGAATAATGTCATTTTTATGGGAATGCATTTATAATGTTATTGTATTGAATCTAAAAATGTCATTTTGAAAATGAATGCCATTTTTGACACTAACATTAAGAACTTGGCAATACTACTACTAATTTGGAAAACTTTAGTACACATTTTTATATCTGATAATGCCCTCTCATTTCTGTCAAGTTGACGATGATGTCATTAAGATGACACTCCAACTGCGAAATGACACATCTATGATAGTCATACCACATCAGAGGTCAGATCAGAAATTTATTGTGGTATGTGGTGAATGAAGCCATGTGGTGAATGAAGCCACCATTGGTGCCTATGGCGCGAGCGCTAATGTAGGTGGTGGTGACCATAGAAATAATGGCGATTAATAGTATAGAATTAATTAGCACTCCCTCCGTTCCGGAATTATCTTCATACTTTCTTTTTCGGTCTGTCCCAAATTTATCTCTCTTTTCCTTTTTTAGCAAAGAATTTGTGGTTTACAATCATTCTTACACATTCTTACACATTTCTCTTTCATCTGCACAACTTTCCATCATACATTTCCCACTATCTTAATATGTGTGCCAATTGTACTTGTGAAGATAAGTATGGGACGGAGGGAGCATTAATTATTAGTCAGTATCCTAATTGTATTTGGAAACTTATTTCATTATAAATATACTGTCAGGGCTACCAGTCTTGTTAAGCCTGTTTATTATTCTCACACAATATCAAGAGCCTTGTTTCTACCATAAATTTGTTTTTCGGTGTCTATGGCGTCTACGACCGCCGCCGATCAAACCACCTCCACCGCGCCTCTCACGATGGCAACGCCACATATGACGGCTGTGCCTCCTTCCGTCACCATGCCGTCAGCATAGTCAACCTCATCTCCTTCGTACTCTCTCACTTTCGGCTCGACATCGACTGTCTCTGTCTTGCAGCCCTCCTTCTCGGCGTCGTTCCCGATGAGTAGCTCAGTGATTGATATGTCCGCTTGGGTTTTGCCGGTGTTCGACTGGTCCTCTCCCTCATGGCCTGTCGTCCTATCCACCAGGACTCCACGGTACGATCATCAACTTCATCTACATCCAGGCTTAAGTTCGCGGGTCCCACCTTTTACGGCTCGCAAGGTTTGGCGCCGCCGCCTACACTTCGTCCGATAGACAGGCCGGTTGCCGCTCAGTCTTCGGGATCCCTGGATGCAATTACACAATCCACGGGCTTTTCGACTCAAAATATTACAAATATTGTCACCACGAAGCTTGATGAAGTTGAAGATTATTTGCCCTGGAGAATTTAATTCGAGTCCTTTTTGGTGTTTCATGGCCTGTTGAGTATTCTGCACGGTACGATTTTTGCTCCTACTCAATATATTTTTTATGCTCTTCTTATAGAAGTTGTGAATAACGAGTACTATTATTGGTTAAAGTTAGACCAAACAGTCCATTCTTGGCTATTGTCTTTCAGCAAGTCCTCCTTACTATCGTCCGTTGTTACTAGTCAGCAACTCCCTCCAGCCATCCCTTCTCCTTCCTCGCCGGCGGCTAGCTACCAAGGCAGTTCACTGCAGTCCGAAGCTGATCTATCGGACCAACCAACTTCCTCACCTGGTTCACCGACGAGTTCCAGTCCAGTTTCATCGATTGTGTCTGGTCTGATGTCACCTAGTTCATCGGTAGTTTCTGAGTCAGCAGAGTGCACTTCCTCCGTTAGTGATGCCGTATGTGACAGTTTGCCATCCCCTAGTCCTTTAGTACAAAACATTCGTCCCAAGCCAGGAATCTTTAAACCAAAAATGATTATTAATTTGAATACTATGGTTTTGGTTCCTGATCTTACATGTTTTCTATGGCTAATAAAGATCTTAAATGAAGAGCTGTCATGGCTGAGGAATTTAATGCACTTATTACTTATAAAACATGGGACTTAGTACCGTTTGACTCTAATAAAAATGTGGTTGAGTCTAAATGGATTTATAAAACTGAATATCTGTCTGATGGATCTATTGAACGACATAAAGCACGCCTGGTTGCTCAAGGATTTAAGCATCAAGCTGGGATTGATTTTCTGAAACCTTTAGTCCCGTTGTTAAACCCACAATTGTTCGCATTGTACTTACCTTGGCCTCATATAATTGGACTATTCGTCAGTTGGATGTCAAGAATGTTTTTTCTTCATGACCATCTCACAGAGGAAGTTTATATGCGTCAACCACCCGGGTTTGTTCATCCACAATTTCTCAATCATATTTGTCGCTTGCGCAAGGCCTTCTACGGTCCTAAACAGGCTCTTCGAGCTTGCTTTTATCGTTTTGGTAGTTTTCTTTTTACCCATGGTTTTGTTTGTAGTCGTGCTCATAATTCTTTGTTTATCTTTCGCGAGGCTAATCGCATTATTTATTTGCTCTTATATGTGGTGCATTGCAGTATTTAACTATGACTAGACTAGATATTACATATGTTGTTCACTTGGTGTCTCAATTTATACATGCTCCCCGTACTTTACATATGTTGGTTGTTAAGAGATTTTTCAGATACCTCCAGGGCACTATCACGCAAGGGTTACACCTATGACAGTCCACCCATCCCCATTCCGTACTAGCATACTCTGACGCTGATTGGGCTGTTTTAGATCATCGACTGAAGCTGAGTATAGAGCCATTGCATACGCTGTTCAAAATACTTTACACATACGTTCCATTTTGTTTGAGCTGCCTTTCCTCTTCATTGACCTATGCGTCTGCTATGTGATAATGTATCTGCCTCCTATTTGTTTGCCAATCCCATTCAACATGCTCAAAGTAAGCACATTGATATTGATTATCATTTTGTTCGGGAACGTGTGGCTCATGGAGTTCTTCTGGTGCAATATTTTCCAACAAAGTTTCAGCTGGCTGTTATTTTTATCAAGAGTTTGGCTCCTCATCAGTTCTTATTTTTACGTGACAATCTAGGCGTAGTTCCTCCTGCATAGATTGATGGGTGTAATAGTTTGACTCTTAGTATTAATTATTAGTCAGTATCCTAATTGTATTTGCAATGGAGCCAAAGATTCATTATTTTTTGGCTTGAGATTGTGATGAAATAAAGCAAAATGGCTCACTAAACTGTCTGCGCTTCTTTGTTATGGAGCAGCAGTCAGTCCATGCAATCTTGGACGCGATTTTCACTATGGGTCATCCGGAAACAGTCTCTCTGTGCTTTAGTACAGGGGTAAGACTGCGTACATCCGACCCCCCTTACCCCACCGTAGGTGGGAGCCTTTGCGGCACTGGGGTAAATGAAAATGATGAAAATGATGATGATCCTAATTGTATTTGAAAACTTATTTCATTAGAAATATATTGTCAAGGCTACCAGTCTGGTTAAGCCTGTTTATTATTCTCACAGCGATGACATTGGAGACGGCGATGATGGTGGTAGCAGAGGCGGCGGCCGATGGTTGAGGAGCCGTCATCGGTGGCGATAGGGCCGTTGGCGACAGGTGGAAGAGCCACCGATGGTGGCAGATGAGTTTACTAGGGGTGACAACTGGTGAGAAGGTGGTCATCGTGCCTTAGGGTTGTTTCTGTTGTAATGTTTATTTTTAATTTTTTCATATTTTGAGTTAAATTATTAATAAGAGAAATTGTCCTAAATAGAAGTAAACAGGTTTTCAAATTCCGAACTAGGATTGTTTTGTTTTTTCCGAAATATGAGTCGTTATTGTCATGATTAAAAATGCCGTTAATGATAGTGAATACTATCATATCGAATGTCTTTTACTGTAACTATTTGGTAATAAATACCGCCATGTTATTCCTATTTCATGAAGAAAAACATAGGAGTCCTATTTTGAAATTTCAAAACTTGTTTACACCTATTCTGGGAAATCTCCATAGTTTGGAATTTCATTAAGGGTATTTATGTCAGACCACTCTTTTTTACTCCTCTTTGTGCATAATTTTTATGTTTTAGGATGTTTTCTTTTGGATTGAAATTTGCTGGTCTAGTCTGGTTTGGGTAGATAAATGTATGGTCTTTGTGTATTTTATAACTGTTCAAATCTGATCTAGTCTGATCTGCCTTGGTCTTGTTTGTTTAAGTCTTGTTTGGTGTGGGACTGAAAACAGTCCAAAAGAA